GCAAATGATACAAAAGTGTGCCGGGTGCTTTTATCTATGTCTGCTATGAGGAAAGAAACAGCAGAGGTGCCAGGACAGTGGCTTGGGGCACTGAGCTTTTGACCTCGTTGATGCTGGATCTTGCCCTGTTCACTACTACCTATTGTGTGTGTGTGTTAGGAATCCGAAAATCCATCTGCCTACCTTCCCCATAATGCCCATGGCCCTCATTTTGTGCGTTATCACTTCATGATCTGTCAAATGCACTTGCAAAATCTGTGTAAATCACATTTGTGCTTTGGTCATTTTCCAATGCCTCCAAAATTCTGTCATAATTGTTCAGCAGCTGTGACAGGCATGATCATCCTGCTCAAAAATCATGCTGGTTCAGGTTATGCTGGTTGTGCTGGTCCATGAAATTTATAATCTGCCGTCTCATCACTCTTTCGAATATTTTTATAATGTGAGAAGTTAGGGCTACTGGTCTAATTTTTAGCTAGTGCTCCAAAGCAGCTATGTCTGCACTCTTTAAGGCCTCCAGTATTTCACCTAGTTCTAAGCTCTTTCTCCAAAGAATGCTGAGTGCTCGTGCTAATGGTACTTTACACTTCTTTATAAATAGAGCATTCCATGAATTTGGTCCAGGTGCTGAGTGAGTGGACATGTTGTCCATTTCTTTTTCAAAATCTATGGGGTTTGTACCAATGTCAGTTATGTAGTTGGTCTGTGTGGCCTGTGCGGCTGTCATTTGGTGGGTTGCTGAACACTGACTCATACTTTTCTTTTAGGATTTCACTCATTTCCTGTTCGTCATCAGTATACAAATCTCCTCCCAGAAGTGGTGGTCCAATTCTACAGGTAGTTCTTAGCTTGGATTTTGCATAGGAACAGAAATATTTTGGTTTTCTGGCAATATCTTGTATGGCCCTTTGTTCCTTTTGTAATTCTTCTGTTAGGTATGACATCCTAAGTTTTAGCTCTAGTTCAGTGATCTCTTGTCTATGCCTATCTTTCCTCTGCTGAAGCATATCTGTGTTTTTAAGCAATTCAGTAACCTGTTTTTTTCTTCTGTACCATCTCTACACTCTCTATATCTGATCTTCTGGGTTTCCTCAATGGTATGTGCCTCATGCCCAAAATGTCTAGCCATGCTAGGTGTTCTAGTGGTACCTTCTGTAATTATTATTTTACTACATGTAAACCACACAATAACCAAATTCTGTAAACTCAGCATTGTAATCCTTACAGGGAATAAACTTTGAATTTGAATTTGTATGCTTCTCTATTCAGCTTCTCCAGGCACTGGTGGGGATTTAGGGTGGTCATGTCTGATTCCCAAGATATGTCTGACAGCTCTTGGTTTATTTTTTCCCCATCAATTCTATGGTTGTTAAAATTAAACTTACTGAACATCCCGTTCCTAACATTAGTGACGCAGTTCTCCTAACCCTGAGTTAATACTTGTTTGAACTTCTATGATATTGTGGTCAGAGTAAATTGTTTTTGTAACTGTTATGTCTCTGATTAGTTCCTTGTTGTTTGTGAATATCAAATTAAGGGTATTTTTATTTCTAGTGGGATCAATTATCTGTTGGTTTAACCCTTTCAGGGTTGGTGCCGTACTAGTACGCATAAATTCTAGCACCTTCAAATCAAGTGAGAGTAAGGTGGTAGGCCTACATATGAAAGAATGGCTCTATGTGGTCAGTGTGCAAAGTATAAAAAAAATCCTGCAGCACACAGTGCATAACAAGAGAAAAAAAACTTCGACCGTGTTTTTGCTTTAATGAGTATTTCTTACAAAGCCTCATTAGTTCCCTGGTATGTGCCTGTTGAGCCAGGGTGCTTCCCGGAGATATTTCTAGTATAACATTACGTTGCACCATTTTACATAAGATTAAAATCTCCAAGGAGTAAAATATTTGGCGTGGGATTTTCTAGCCTATCCACACAGCTAGCTATCTTCCTTAGCTGATCTGTGAATTCCTCAGCAGTTGCTGGTGGTGATTTGTATACTAGGATAATTACCAAATTCCTATTTTTAACTTTAATGCCTAGGATTTCTACATCATTTGTAGAGTTCAGCACTTCTGTGCAACAGAAAGAATCCTTTAAATAGATTCCTACTCCTCCCTGTGACTTATTAATTCTATCACATCTTTATCTCTCCCTCCAAAACATCCCTTGTATGTGTTCTGTAAATGCTCCAAACATGGCATTTGCTTCTTATAGGAGCCCACTGACATAACTTTGTCATTTTTATTTGATTTCAAACCTTGAATATTTGCAAATATGAAGCAGGAATTAGCATTTGGGATGTTTTGTCTTGTTTTATGTTTCATTAGTACCACTGGTGATGTACTACATGGTATAGCCCCTGGTGTACATACCCCCTGGTTTCTCCAGCACTGACTTTGCATTTGGTTGCTTATTTAGCCCTGTTGGGCTGATGCCTGGTTTAATATGTCCTATTTTGCTGTCCATCTGCCCTCTCTGTACCATTTCCCCTATTTGTCTCTTTGGTTCAGTCGCTTCTCTTTATGTCTAAAAAAGATTGCTGTCCATTTTCCCTTTCTCTGCTTTCTCTGTAGTACCGCATTCCTTTTATATGGTGGTCTGGGCAGCTCAGGTCATAACATTCTCTGGATTGTGTTGCTGCACTCTTTGTTGAAACAACACTTTCCCTTCCTCAACATGTTGGTACATTTTCTGGTGTGTTTATTCCAGCAAGCTCTGCCATATAGGCACATACCTTTTGCATAGTATCTGCAAATGTTTTGACTGCCTATTTTTACTGATTTTGTGTCTTTCCCAAGATCTGTTACCTGATATGAGTTCTCTTGTTCTCTTTCATCTAGGCGTATTTCTTCCCTTTTTTCGTTTTCGTTTGTTCCCACTCTAGCTTTCTCTTCATCCCTTTCCCTTTCCTCTATGTTATGTACCCATATTACCTTCTTTTCTGACTTGCTCTGTATGACTTTTCCACTCTTATTTCCACTCCTTGGTTTTTCACCTTTATCTGCACTTTCCTCCTTTTCTGGTTCCTTACCCCCTGTTTTCCACTTTGTATATATCTGGCAAGCTCCTTAAAAACTTTCTTAAGCTTTTTAGGTTTTCACTTTTCAGTATCTTTCTTATGCCCAACCAGCTTTCCATCTCAATGGGGCAAATCCAGAATAGACCTTCTTGTTTTGGGTCCTTTCTCATGGTTGAATGAATGGAATGCTTTTCCACATATTTCGCAATCTATGCCTCTAATGTTTCTCCAAAAATTTTGTATGAATGTACATGTATATGTGTATGTATGTATGTATGTATATGTGTATGTATGTACGTATGTATATGTGTATGTATGTATATGTGTATGTATATATGTGTATATGTGTATGTATGTATGTATATGTATGTATGTGTGTGTGTAGGTATGTATGTGTGTATGTATATGTATGTTAGTTATTTGGTCCTAGGCACATGTTGATTAGACACTAGGCCTGTTGTATGTGCATGCGTGTGTGTGTGTGTGTGTGTGTGTGTGTGTGTGTGTGTGTGTGTGTGTGTGTGTGTGTGTGTGTGTGTGTGTGTGTGTGTGTGTGTGTGTGTGTGTGTGTGTACTCACCTATTTGTGGTTGCAGGGGTCGAGTCATAGCTCCTGGCCCCACCTCTTCACTGATTGCTACTAGGTCCTCTCTCTCCCTGCTCCATGAGCTTTATCATACCTCGCCTTAAAACTATATATGGTTCCCGCCTCCACTACTTCACTTTCTAGGCTATTCCACGGCTTGACTACTCTATGACTGAAGAAATACTTCCTAACATCCCTTTGATTCATCTGAGTCTTCAACTTCCAATTGTGACCTCTTGTGTCTGTGTCCCATCTCTGGAATATCCTGTCTTTGTCCACCTTGTCTATTCCGCGCAGTATTTTGTATGTCGTTATCATGTCTCCCCTGACCCTCCTGGCCTCCAGTGTCGTCAGGCGAATTTCCCTCAACCTTTCTTCGTAGGACAATCCCCGTAGCTCTGGGACTAGTCTTGTTGTAAACCTTTGCACTTTCTCTAATTTCTTGATGTGCTTGACTAGGTGTGGATTCCAAACTGGTGCTGCATACTCCAGTATGGGCCTGACGTAAATGGTATACAGAGTCTTGAACGACTCCTTACTGAGGTATCGGAACGCTATCCGTAGGTTTGCCAGGCGCCCGTATGCTGCAGCAGTTATCTGATTGATGTGCGCCTCAGGAGATATGCTCGGTGTTATACTCACCCCCAGATCTTTTTCCTTGAGTGAGGTTTGCAGACTTTGGCCATCTAAACTATATTGTGTCTGCGGTCTTCTTTGTCCTTCCCCAATCTTCATGACTTTGCATTTGGCGGGGTTAAACTCAAGGAGCCAGTTGCTGGACCAGGCTTGTAGCCTGTCCAGGTCTCTCTGTAGTCCTGCCTGATCCTCATCCGATTTGATTCTTCTCATTAACTTCACATCGTCCGCAAACAAGGACACTTCTGAGTCTATCCCTTCCGTTATGTCATTCACATATACCATATTCATATACATATTCACATATGTATGTATGTATGTATGTACAAATGAGTATATATACCTACACCTTTCTATAACAATCTGAACCTTTCTCCAGGTAAGATACAGCTCTGCTGAAAGTTTAAACCTAAGATGAAGAAAACAAACAACCATTACATGTATCTCCTTTGGGGGGATACCTTAATATAAACAAGCCTCATCATCTGCTTTGAACATAATTTTTTTTTTAATTTTACTTACTGAATAAACTGGGTCTGACGAAGGAATCTGCTCTGAACGACCTATTCTAGGAACATACTATCTGTCCAGATCAATGGATCATAATATATAAAAATGGAGATGTTTATTTCTGGTAAATACAGCAGACAATAGCAATAAGAACAGGTTACATGTTATACAGAGTTACAGGAAAGCCCTTGTTTATACTAAGCATTTTTGTGAAGCTTAAAAAACTTAGCTTAAAACTAAGGCACATACACACCTTGTTGATGGCAGTGGACATAGACGATTTCTTCCACCCTCACATTAAGGGCATATTCCCAGTAGATGCTGTAGGGAAACCAACAAAAGTAGTTGAACTTTTATAAATATTAACATGACATTATTATTATACAACTACTGTAGTTAAAATTCTGATCTAATCTCTATGACAAGATGAAAATGTTTTTCTACATAATTAAATGTTTTCTACATAACACCTAAATGTTAAATAATGCTCAATAATATAAGAACTTTTCAAGATTATCTTATAAACCATTAATGATTTTTATTTAATAAAGGAATAATATATTCACCATTTCATTGCAAATGCTAAATTTGTATGGTTCATAATTTAATTATACATCAGGACATACAGGAAAATATAGTGTATTTTTTAATTAACCTGATAATCCATATATATAAAATGTTTCTCATCCCCAAGTTTATTTGTAAAATAGTTACAGGGTGTTATTGGTGTATTACATCATCCAATACCTAATTACTACATAAAAAGTAAAGAGTCCTGAAGAGCAAACATGTCACTGAATATAATGCCTTTACAACAACAACAATAATAATAATAATAATAATAAAAATAAATAATAATAATAATAAAATAGGTAATATTAATAATTTACTAATAAATTATAATTATAATAATATTCATGGGGAAATGCTCACCCTGTAAAGATTATACTCCTCTTTGGGAATGACAGGCAACCAGATCTGATCCAAGAGGAAGGCTGCTTCAAATAATTGAATCAAGAGTCCTTCACAAGTATGAAAACATCCCCCTGAAGGACCATCTCCAATAATGAATGGCACTTCTGACCTTTTACAGTAAGTTGGATCATGTAGTCTTGACACATGTGAGGGCTGAATCTCAGGAAGAACTAAAAGCCGTAAAGGAAATTAAAAAACAAAAAACAAAATACTTCTTCTCTTATGCCAAATCTAAGGGTAAAGCAACATCCAGTATTGGGCCCCTGCTTAGGCGATATGGGACATACACAGATGACAGCAATACAACTCGGTGTTCAGCGAGTCGTTACCCAGACTAAGGGTCAACACTCTAAATGAATTCTTTATGAACGGGACCCAAAATCTGGTCATCTCAAAAATCTCTGATATTATCCTATCATCACAAGATTTTGAAAAAGTAGTAAATGACATGTTCATGCACTTTGCCCCAGGCCCAGACTCATGGAACTCCATGTTCATCAAGAACTGCAAGAAGCCCCATTCATGTGCCTTCAGCATTCTATAGAGATGGAGCGTGGACACAGGAGTCATCCCACACTCACTAAAAACAAAAGACATAGCCCCACTCTACAAAGGTGGCAGTAAAGCAATTGCAAAGAACTACAGACCAATAGCACTAACATCCCACATCATAAAAATCTTCAAATCTTCTAAGAAGCAAGATCGCCAACCACCTACATACCCATCAATTACACAACCCAGGGCAACACAGGTTTAGAGCAGGTCGCTCCTGCCTGCCCCAGCTACTGAACTACTATGACAAGGTCCTGGATGCTACAGAGGATAAAAAAATGCAGATGTAGTTTACACAGACTTTGCAAAAGCCTTTGACAAGTGCGACCATGGTGTAATAGAGCACAGAATGCATGATAAAGGAATAATAGGAAAAGTTGGTAAATGGATCTATAACTTCCTAACAACCAGAACACAAAGAGTCGGGTGTCATCCATAGAGGATGACACCCAAACTGCCATGACAGTGTCCTCCATCGAAGACACCGCAAGACTCCAAGTGGGCATGAACCAAATCTTTCAATGGGCTACTCAAAACAATATGAAGTTCAATGAAAAAAAATTCAACTACTCAGATATGGAAAACTTGAGGAAATTAAAACTGTATCAGAGTATACAACAAATTCTAACCATACAATAGAGCAAAAAAGTAATGTGAAGGACCTGGGAGTGATAATGTCAGAGGATCTCACCTTCAAAGACCACAGCAATGTATCTACTGCATCTGCCAGAAAAATGATAGGATGGATAATGAGAACCTTCAAAACTAGGGATGCCAATGATGATTCTCTTCAAATCACTTGTTCTCTCTAGGCTGGATTACTGCTGTACACTAACTGCCCCCTTAAGGCAGGCAAAACTGCTGACCTAGAGAGTGCACAAAGAACTTTCACGGCATACATAAGTACGATAAAGCACCTAAATTACTGGGAATGGTTGAAGTCCCTTGATTTGTATTCCCTGGAATGCAGATAAGAGAGATACATGATAACATACACTTGGAAAATCCTAGAGGGATTAGTACCAAACTTGCACAAAAAATCACTCCCTATGAAAGCAAAAGACTTGGCAGGTGATGCAATATTTCCCCACTGAGAAGCAGGGGTGCCACGAGTACAATGAGAGACAACACAATAAGTGTAGGGGCCCAAGACTGTTCAACTGCCTCCCAGCATACATAAGGGGGATTACCAACAGACCCCTAGTTGTCTTCAAGAAGGTACTGGACAGGCACCTAAAGTCAGTACCTGATCAGCCGGGCTGTGGTTTGTATGTCAGTTTGTGTGCAGCCAGCAGTAACAGCCTGGTTGATCAGACCCTAATCTACCACAAAGCCTGGTCTCAGACCAGGCCGCAAGGGCGTTGACCTCCGAAACCCCCTCCTGATATACTTCAGGCTTGCAACCACCAAGTTAACTAACAACCTGAGAGCTCATCCTGACCATGTAAAACTAAAAGACACCTTAAAAAAGATTTGGAAATACCCTGCAAGAGATGCAGGCAATGATGTCTTGAGCAGTGCAAACGTGTCAACCTGTACACACTGATGTCCTGAGTAGTGCACCTGTATGCACATGTCTTGAGTAGTGCACCTGTATGCACTGTTGGCTGGAGTAGTACATACATATACACCTGTATGCACTGATGTCTTGAGTAGTACAGACACATACACCTGTATGCAGTGTTGTCTTGAGTAGTACATACATATACACCTGTATGCAGTGTTGTCTTGAGTAGTACATACATATACACCTGTATGCACTGTTGTCTTTAGTACATACATATACACCTGTATGCACTAACATCTTGAGCAGTGAGTACGTATCAACCTTCATGCACTGATGTCTTGAGCAATGCATATGTATCAACCAGTATACATTCATTGACATCTTGAGCAATGCATACATATCAACCTACATGCACTGATGTTTTGAGCAGTGCATAGGCATCTTGTACCCACACTTAGTTTGGGTTACCACACCATGTAAGAGCTGAACAGTAAAATAATAGAGATAATATATAAATCTATGAATATAATAAAATAGTGGAGGTAAAAGTGATAAATATTATAGGGAAGGGAACTACTGGAGTTTAAAGGAAACAAAAAGGCAAAATATATTGTTGCAAGTGAAGGAACACAATGACTGGATGAAATATATCCTGTAGCTCAATCGCTAGTGCATCAGCTCACACACTGAGGTCCAGAGTTTGAATCTCCAGTATGGCTGGAAAACATTAGGACATGTTTCCATAAGACACCTGCTGTCCATGTTCACCCTTCAGTATAAAATGGGCACCTGGGTGTTAGTCGACTGGCGTGGATTGCATCCTGGGACAAAACTGACCTAATTTGCCCGAAATGATCTGCATAACATGCAGCTTTCTATACAGTATGTCAATGATACAGCTAGGCCTGTATACCTTGTACATGTACTTGTAGAAATAAAGATATTATTACTATTATTATTATTAAGTGAAATGAACTCTGAGTGAAGGATGAAGCACAATGCAAAGAGTTGACATGAAGAGGCAATTAATGTGAAGGGAGCACAGTTGATGTGAGATGTGAGGGAACACAACCAGAGTTGATGTGAGGGAACACAACCAAGAGTTGATGTGAGGGAACACAACCAAGAGTTGATGTGAGGGAACACAACCAAGAGTTGATGTGAGGGAACACAACCAAGAGTTGATGTGAGGGAACACAACCAAGAGTTGATGTGAGGGAACACAACCAAGAGTTGATGTGAGGGAACACAACCAAGAGCTGATGCGAGGGAACACAACCAAGAGCTGATGTGAGGGAACACAGCCAAAAGCTGATGTGAGGGAACACAGCCAAGAGCTGATGTGAGGGAACACAGCCAAGAGCTGATGTGAGGGAACACAGCCAAGAGCTGATGTGAGGGAACACAGCCAAGAATTAATGTGACAGGGGATGGGTGGACACAGTCTGTTATAATATGAAATACTCTGAGAAAGGAAGCCTATACCTTACTGAGGTCCCATCAGCTGAGGGCAAGGCTGTAAGGCTGTGTCCAGGCAGTCACCCATCCAGTTTCTGGCCAGACCCAACCTTGCAAAAACTGACTTACCAAATGAAATAGCGAACAATAAAACATGTGATGGGAAGAGAGTAAATGTGCTAGTAAAGTAAGACACAGCAGAGTGAATCTGTTAGCAAATTAGAATAGGGAACAAAATCTAGGAGTGAAGAATAAAAGGAAAATGGAAATAACATGGTAAAAAGCAAAATCTATTCTGAAGCCAGTAGAGATGGTAGCCCACAAGTAGATATAGGTAAAAACAAAAGAATAGTGAAGCCAGTAGTGATGGTATCCCACAAGCAGACATATAGGTAAAAACAAGAATAGTGAAGCCAGTAGAGATGGTAGCCCACAAGTAGATATAGGCCAAAACAAAAGAATAGTGAAGCCAGTAGAGATGGTAGCCCACAAGTAGATACAATTCAAAACAAAAGAATAGTGAAGCCAATAGTCATGGTAGCCCACAAGCAGACATAGGTAAAAACAAAAGAATAGTGAAGCCAGAGTGATGGTAGCCCACAAGCAGATATAGGTCAAAACAAAACAGTAGTGAAAAGCAAAAGATACTGAATCAATGCTCTGCATATGGTGCTAAGTAAAAACTTTGGGTATCATAAAGATACATAATGCAGAGCAAGTATTTAGTGAAGTGCATTTCTGAGCAAAAAAGTACTTGTAGTTTAAAGTAATAGTTTACTTTGCATTACATCTCTTTATGCCCATTATTGCCCTAGTCATCATATAGCTATCATCACATACACCAAGCCATAGTTACCAATAACCAATTCCCAAAGCCACACTAGCACCCCAGAAATACAGTATCAAACAATCATCAACACTCCATTAGTACCATGAATGGCATCCTAATTCTCAAATATGACCACCACCTTTACCAGAGCAAATCCACAACCACCAACACAAGCACTCACGATAGTAGGATCTCTGAGTAGCGGCGTAAGAAAGACGGTCTCCTTGGTCTGGTATGAAGTTCAGACATACAGGGTAGACTGTGGCGTCTACCCGGGTACCTTCAAATTAAGTTACCAGCAGACAACAAATTACCCCCAATGCCTTATTGTACTTTACTTTGACTT